GTGAAGTCCACTCAGCTTAAAGTGGCCAAGTTTGGACAACACTGGCCTAGCTTTTCCAGTCACAACAACCCTGCAAGGTAGGATGGGTGGAGAGGGAGGGCTTGAGTCAGGGAGTGTCCACGGCTGAGGATGGACTAGGACCAGGGTCTCCCGGCTCCTGGTCCAGCAGCTTTGGCTGCCAGTGTGCAGGGGGTGACCATCACGTCCAAACGCCCTCCCTAACTCCAGTCCCCTCTCACCTCTGGACCCTCACCTGACAAGAGTCGATGCCTCCAGAGAGGTACCCAGCGCAGAACATGGCACTGCTGACAAGCTGGCTCCCTAGAGCGCCACGGCAGAGATCTTGTGCCAATATAGGCACCCGGGCTTCCATGACCACCTCAGCAGGCGGTCCGTCTATGAGAGAAGCAGATGGCGTTACGAGCGGCCACACCACCGAAGGAACATCCCTGCTGGCTTTCCTCCTCCCCCTTGGCAGGTAAGCAAAAGGTAACTGGGCACAGGTGAGACGCTGCAAGAGGGGAACCTCAGCTCTTCCCTTCTTCCTCCTCCTCAGATCCGAGTCCGGGTTTTACGGGCAGCCCAAGGAGCTGGGACAGCTGCAACCTGGGATCGGCTTGGGACTCTTTTTAAAGGCTTCCAAGGCAAGGGGACACTTTCAGCTGGCCGGTTGCCCCCGGAGGGGTTCCAGGAAGGTGATGCAGTCATCTTCCACAGGAAGCCTCCGGGGAAAATTAAAACAGCCCAGCAAGGCCCATCTTGGTCCCTCAACTGGCCTACCTTGCAGGGGTGCAGAGCAGGGGATAGATCGTCACAGAGAAAATCTGTCTAGGTGGTCGCTAGGAATCGAAAATGACTTGATGGCGCATAATCAGTCAATCCATCAACCTTCCCAACGTTTTTGATTCCAGTTCCCATGAGCCAAGCCTGCACGGCCTCATGGCCTCAGTCCAGGCCATCTCGAAGGGAGCAAATGTTCTTGACCTCCGGGTCCCCCCACCCCCCATTACCTTCATAGAGTGAGCCCCAGCCAACGATATAGCAGAGGATCCCCTGGCTCAGCTCCGTGGCCTGCTCTGGGAGGCACACGGGGGTCACCCAGGCCGAGGGGCGCACGGGAGTGCTCAGTTCTAGCAAAGCCACATCCCCGTGAAAGGTCTTCGGGTCAAACTGCAGAAAGAGACATGGGCCGTGGCAGCGGGGGGCAGTCTCAAGCAGCAATGGGGACGGGGGACGTCTCCCAAGGACCGCCAGGAGCAGACTCAAGACTCACCTTGGGGTGTGGCAGGATGCGGCTGACCGGGACCACTTGTTCGCCTTCATCCCGCTGGGTTAGATCATAGTCACCCAGGACCACAGACCAGGCCAGCTCATTTCGGCTTCTGCCGGCAGGGGGCATATTGCAGAACTCCGTCATAATCGGCACCCCCAACTGTCCTCCTTCCCAGCCTTGCCCACCCCAACACAAGGCAGATGCTCACAGCTGTATTTCTCCCCAGAGGAGGAACCCAGAGAAATGCAGCCTTTGCACCCACTCCTTTGCGGTGACCCTGGAGACTTTGGGGTGACTTTGTGAACATGAAGACACCGCTTGAAGGAGACTGTAGTAGTCGTAGTGCCAATTGGAATCAAATTCCTTTTCACTGAAAATAGCCTTTTCCAATTTAGTGTCCTGCAAGCTTTGCACCATTTTGCACCCTTTAGTCCAGTGTTTCTCAACCGTGGCAACTTTAAGATG